CCTAAACCCTTAAACAGCAACCCAGCTTCTTGCAGTGGCCTCACCATGGAGCCAGGAACTTCACGAAGGCCATCTTACCGGCCTTCACCTGGGTAGTGTTTTTTAAGCCCAGTAAGATACAGGGATAATGGAAAAGAAAATGGAAACTACTATATTATAATAGGGTATATATTGGGGTTCTATTGCTGAGTAGTGTCTTTTTTGGTGGTTGAACCCAGGAAGATTCTATTCCCTATATATAATACTATACCCCAAATGGACGATATAATCTTACTCTATAATGGGTACCATAATATCCCCAAATAAAAGACTACTCACATGAGCTATAGTTCTAAACTTCTAGCATCCCCCTTAATGGGCCTGAGTATAGGGTTTAAGGTCTAAACTCCTAGTATCCCCCCTAATAACCCATAGTATAGGCTTAAGGTCTAAACTCCTAGCATCCCAAACCCCTAGTCTAGGGTGTAGGGTTAGTATGCCCCTTAGTAAGCCCTGTAATGGTCCCCTATATAGTCCCTTATAAGACTTTAGAGTTTAAACTTTTGGGTTTATTACCTAAGGGGTCAGAGTCTCCAAAGAATTGCAATTGTTTTTGAAAAAAGGGGTGCGGGGGGGAAGGCAGACGTACTGGGAGTGCTATCTAGGAAATACTCACGTGCATCTAGGCCCACCCTCAATATTTGACGTTCCACATGGAATCCCATGTACGCCTGCACCCTAAACCCAAACCGCCTAAACACTAAACCTCCTAAAACGTAACACTCTGAAATCCCCTATGAGGTAGCAGCAACCTCCCCAAATACCAGCCAAATCACCGGCTTAAGCACCTTCTCGTCCCAGTTCCTGGGATGCATTCTGAGTTCAAAGCTTTTGGGGTTTGGGATTCGGTCAGTTGAACTTCCTAGAATCTAGTTGGGAGTTTCCCAAAATTATGTGTACCTTTTTGGGGGAACTACCGTTCAGATTTTTGGACTTTCAGGGTGTAGGCCGGGTCCCTACTGCACAAAGTTCAGGGCTTTGCGGTCAGGGGTTAGGGGCTTGGGCTCAGGGCTTCGTTTCTGGGGGGGGCATTCGGACAATAAGAAAAGTTGGCATGTTTCTACGTGTGCTAGATATGGACATGATGTAAAAAGCAACAAAGACAGCAGAGCCTACCTCCTCTACTATTCCTTAGCATTGCTGTTATTATTTCTGTTACTACTACTACTACTACTATTATTATTATTATTACTGCTATCTCTATTGCTTTTGCTAGGAGTGTTACCAATCCTGTTTCCATTACCACTACTTCTTCTTCACGAAGCAGCCCTGAACCCTAAACCTTAAA